GAATGCAAAAATCCGCACTATTAACATAGTAGAGTGAAGGGACTATAAAATTCTTATATAGTGAACATATATAGAAATTTAGGTATATGTATATGGATATATATATATATTTGTAAAACCTGTTTTCATGTCACAGTGTGTGGGTGCCGGGGAAAAAAGGAACCTACGCACATTTCACATATTTGGTGCGCGATGAATGAACTCACGCTACTTTAAGTTAAACGTCACAATTTTGTTCACAGTTTCCTTAAATTGCTTATTAATTTTTTCAATTTTGTGAAAAATTGCAATGAAAGAAAATTTTTCAAAGGCCAAAGACAAAACAAAATTTTTACTAGAAAATGTTTCAATTAAGAGAAATTATGTTAATTAAATAATAGTTAATAAATAATAATATAATAATAAAATTAATATACCTAATTAATATTATAATATTTTAATATTGTATTATTCAAAATTGAATTCTAATTTATAATTTTATTTAATGATATTTTTGATTATTTATAATTTAATTTACTTTGTAAATTTTCAATTTATTTTTATTACAATTTCATTTTAACTATTCAAATACCATTTTATCATTCAGGAATGGTAAACAAATAAATAATAATTTAATTAAATAAATTTCTCTTCAGAGTGACTACATTTACATCGCAAATTGTAAAGATAAATAAAGCATTTGACTGAGGAGTTGCGGAGCGCAAGCGCGGGAGTGGGGATAATGAGAGTAAGGGAGAAAAACGGAGACTTCTCTGTCACTCTCATTGTCCCCACTCCTGCGCGGCGCTTGCGCTTTATTTCTTCTTTGTCTAACATTAAATATATAATATAAATATAGTCATACTTTTCATTAAAAAAAAAAAATATTTTTCAATACAATGTAGAGTTATGCAAATAAATACATTTTTTAATTTAGTTTAATTTAGTTCAGTTAAATTTACTTTCAGTTTAATTTAATTTTAATAAAGTAACATAATTCAGAAATGGCAAATTTTTATTAAACAAACAAAATTCTTTATCTATATTTTTCAGTATTACTTTGTGTATCACGAAACTGGAAAGAACATTATTATCTGATTTTAAGGAACTTGTGTTTCTGAAAGGAAAGAGTTTACAAACTGAATAAAACAGTCAAGTCTTCTTACGTTAATTCCAAAGGGACTATGAAAGATATTCGTTTTTCAAACTTTTCCGTCACAATCGAGACAAAACATAGGGACGCCGCGAGAGAACAATAATTTTATACTAAAAGAAACAACGACTTTTTTTTCAGAAGGCAGACAGTTGAGGGTGGAGAATATATATGTATAGAATAAAAATTATATCCGTCACTTCAAGAGAGAGACATTTTTTTTTGCTCTTAAATTAAATGTAACGCAATATTTTTATATGAAATAAATAATTTCATTTTTAATAAAAATGAAAAAACAAAATTAATTTCAGCGAAATTATAATCAAACTGTGTAAATATTTAGTTTTTAGAAATAATTATTAAAATAATATAAATGAAATATTTAATATAATGAAATAATAAAAAATAAAATGAAAATAAGGAAAATAAAAATATAATCACAACAATTTTGTTTCATGAAAAAAAATGTAGAACAATTAAAAAATTTTAATGTTGAACATAAAAATATAAAAATTAACAATTATAAATAAAATCAAAAATTGAAAATTCGCTAAAGAGAAAGAAATTTTTATTTTTTTCTTTCAACGACTGAAGAATAATTTTCTTCTAAGTATAATATTCTTCTTATATGTATAATATCACTCAACGTTTTATCCTTGATATGTGTAATTAAAAATCAAGAATCATCTTTCGCGATGCAACGTCATTAAAAGATTATTTTTTCCTTTCTCTTTTTTTTTACACAAAATGAAGTATATTCATTAAATTGAGTTTAATGACTTGCCTCAAAATGTTAACACGATATCACTATTTGATATACTTGTTATTTTACATTAAAATTTTGAAAAAGATGTAATCGCTTAAAATGGTATAGAATGCAATAAAACGTTAAGAAGTGACTGCGCTAATAAAACTAAGTGGTCAAAGTAAATGGCAATTTTAAAACAGTATACTTGAATCAAATATACAGTAAATCTTTGTTTTCATCCCCTCAATATATATATATATATAGTCTCAATAAAGTGAATTACTTTTCTGCTATAAATAAATACATAAGGACAAAAAAATGTATAAAAATATTGCAGCTATAAAACTTGAAAATATTTTACGAGCGTAATTTTTATTTTTTTGAAGAAATCGAATGCTTTCAATGATTTTTATATTCTTAATGAATAAATTTTTATAAAACTGAATTCTCGGAGGAGAAATTCTTCAACATTAGGTTCCGCAATATTGCCTTGTAATGTTCCATCAAGTTTTGTAATGTTGAGCAAACATTGTTGCTCTTGGGTAACTTTATTCAATTTATTATAAAAAAAATATAATCTAGTTGGACTTGAATATATTTCATCTTATTCAACTTGAGATTGAATTTCAGAAATCAAAGTATACTTTTTATTTCTGTTTGGCTTAATAATTCTGCTCGGCAAAGTCCGTGACTCTAGTGGTCCATGCGCCTAAAATCGATTGAAAGAGACACAGACAGGGCATGAACCTTTATAAATATACTACATTCTTGCTAGCTTCCATTCGTGAGTGAAAAATCCCAAAACACTATTAAACCATATAATAAAATAATATTAATTTTATTTTTATTTATACTTTATTTTCATTTTTATTTATATTCATTTACGTTTCACATATATGTAAAAAATTTATTTTATTTATTCATTATATTTAATTTTTTACTTGATTTTATATTAAATATAATCATTAAATTAAATTTATTATTAATATTATATTTAGTTATTATTTTCTTGCCAATTTTCAAAAGTCCATAGAACAAAGATCGTGAGAAAAAGTTACCCTGAAGCTTTCGTAAAACAGAGAAAATTTATTGGCAACGGTAGAAAACTAATAAAATGAATAAATTAAAACAAAAAAAATTTATTGAAACAGTAAAGTAATTAAATAAATTAAAATAATAAAGTAATTAAAAAAAAATTGTCTTCAAAAAGACTAAATTTACATCGCAAATTGTAAAGATACGTAAAGTATTTGACTGAGGAGTAGCGGAGCGCAAGCGCGAAAGCGGGGATAATGAGAGAAAGAGAGAAAAACGGAGACTTCTCTCTCACTCTCATTGTCCCCACTCCAGCGCGGCGCTTGCGCTCCATTTCCTCTTAGTCTAACATTAAATATATAATATAAATATTATAGTCATACTTTTCATTAAAAAAAAGAATTACTTTTCAATGCAATGTACATGTTATGCAAGTATAATTTTCAATATAAATAATTTCTACTCACTAAAGACAATTTAACATTTTTTTTAATCTAAAAAATTAAAAAGAAATTATCCAATTTAATTTAAATCACTTTAATTTTGTATAAGTCAATGTAATTTAGTTTCATTTAATTTTAATACAGTAAAAATAAAATTTTCAAATAATTTTGTTAAGTTTGTGAAAAAATTTCTTCAGAGAAAATAATTATTTTTTCATAAAATAATTTTCTGTAACCTTTGAAAAGAAGAGTAAATTCAAAGAAATAATAATTTTCCTCGAGTGAATTCAACGACAAAAGGAAAGGGCTTTTTCATGAAGGGCGGTAAATAATAGGTATGTCCATAACAGACTTTCACGACGATCCGAAATTCGTAGGGGGTTTCGGTATCCTTCTTTGGGAGGCAAGCAGCGGGGGGATGCCTTAAACACCCTCTTAATTTTATGGTCAGCCGTAATCGTTTCGCTCTCACAAATTATTATAGCTAAAATTGTGCGGCGGGTGCGAATGTCGCTCGAGTTTGAAAATTATCCCGCGCACTTTATGGCAGTTAGGTTTATTAGCTGTCGTTTCAGAGTGCGAGAGAACTTAAGTTTGCCAACTTTCACAATGTACACAGACAAATATATATATACATATATTTTGTATAAATAATTATCATTAAGTAAAATTAAATATGTTATAAATAAATTAAATATGCAAACCACTGTTAATTAAGTATATTAATTAATTTATTTATTAATATATTATTATATTTGTGATTTTTGTTTTTTTGTTTGTTTTTTTATAATTATATATTATTATATTAATGTTTTAATAATATTACACGTTAATGTAGTAATTATAATATTATAATAATTAATATTTATTATATTTTAAAATATTATAAATTTATAAAACCTTAAAAAAATAATTTATACTAAAATATTTTCATTAAAGTAGATTTTTTAAAATAAAAAAACACTTATTATTAAAAATTGTTTCATTTTATAAAATAATAATTGTAAAACACATTCGTTTTTAAATTAAAACATGAAATGTATTTTGTGCTTAAAAATTACCTCCTCTCACGATGATTAAACTCTAGAGAATATTTTGTCGATTAAAATATTTTACAATTGTATTTTATATTATAATATTTATTACAATATAAAAATATTATAATTATTTTATATTATAAGAATGTTATAATTATTTTATATTATAAAAATGTTATAATTGATTGAATATTATAATATAGTATTTTACAATTTTTCTCATTTTCTTCGCCGATTTTTCTTTTTGATTTTGGCATTAAAACCTTTTAATGTTTTAATGATTGGACAAATTTAAGGAATTGTTGCTTACTTAGATAAATCAGTCATTGTAAAGACATTAATTTAAACGCAATTTACAAATTTATTTTCATTTAACGAGTAATTAAAAAATAACTGATAAATCCATTTTTGTGAAGTTCGTTTCTAAATATAATTTTTGTATATATTTTTATGAAATAATTTTAAAAATGTTCATTTTATGAAAAATTTTTTGGAAATATGTACTTTTATAAAAACATTTTTCTAAAATGATTTTATTAAATTTTGTTAAATCAATTACTTTTCCAATTTTCTATAAGTAATCTTCAATTATTATTTATGTATTAATTGATAACGAAATTTTACTTATTATTTATTATACCGACCAGATTTTATTCTTTATTCACATTAAACTAAATGTGAATTTTAACAATATTCTCGACTTAAGGGAAGAAAAATATTTCTGGATCCGCCTCGTAATTACATTTCACATATTGATAAGCAAGTTCACATTCATCGTCCGCAGTTACTGAAAAAATTGTCATAACGATAAATTTATATAAATATTAAAATTTATTTCGCAAAACATTTAATAAATTAAAATTTTAACTATTAATCAGAAAATGTTATAGTAAAAAATGTAAATAAATAAATTATTAATTTTGTTAATCTGTGTAATAAATATTAAATTAATAAATAAAATAAATTTAAAAAAATTCTTGTTAATTAAATTAGTAAAACAGTTAAAAATAGGTATAATTTGATTTGAATGGAAAGATGTGAAATTGTAATTAAAATGAGTGAAATTAATTTTATTAAGTAAATAATTAATTTGTTTTATTATTTACCGATTAAAATAAGGAATACTTACTCGATGTGCATTTTTTTGCTGCAATCAGGGCTCTTTCAGCATTTACAGGCATTAACGCTACTGAAGCCAATATAACTGCTTCATCAATTTTACCGCCTTTAATCTATTAAATAAATAAATAAATAAATAAACAAAAGTAAAATTGAAAAATAATCTACAAGAGAAAACACAACAAATTGTTGATTTCTTCAAAAAATTGTTAAAAACACAAAGCTACATAATTTTTAATACACAATTATTACATATTTAATTCTTACCGCTTTTGACATTTTTGCTATGCATCTCAAATAACATTTAAAAGTTGGATCATCCGGAAATTCTCCTTTTCTTACATTTAATGCTACCTCTGTTTAATAGAAATTATAAAAATTATTCGCAAATTGAATTTGCATTCATATTTTTATATTAATTTATTATTAATTATTTATTTATTATTTAAATTTATTCATTTTATTAATTTACATTTTTTGACAACAAAAATAAAATTAATAATAAATTTCTAATAATAAATATAGTAAATTAATTAAAATATTTAAACAATATTAAATAAAATATTAAATAAAAGAATATTTAAAAAAATATTACAAATACAAATAACTTAATTATAGTTTATAAATATTAATTGGTAATAATAGTAATAATAATAATATTTCGAAATAATGAAAGTTAACATATTTTTTAAAAACAGAATTTAATAGTTTTCATTTTTTTTTTTTGCTTACGTGTATCAATTGGAACTTTCGATAAACAAGATTTTCTCATTCCCTTTGCCATATTTTCTACTTGATCCATTGTCATTCCCTAAAAGTAGATTTAAAATGAACACTGTAAAATTTATGCCTCACCATATTGCAAAAAATTGACAAGAGAAAATTAATTTGAAATTTAATTTAAAATAAATAATAATAAATTTAATTCAAATGTAAATAATAAATAAAACAAATTTTCAATAAAAGATGTACTAACGGATTGGACATTTTTAAAACCACAAAAGCCGATAAATGCAATAAGCATAAATAATTGAGAATTCATCATGAAGAACGTCCTCCTTGATATGAAACTTCCTAACGAAATATGAATCTTGACTTTAGTCTTTTGCATTCTTAGTGCACTTTATATATGCTTATTTGTATGTATATCTATACACGTAGGTTGTAGATGATCAAATCATGTGTATTCTAGTTGCTAACTATTCATCAGAAATTGTCAGTAATTTGACATTGACAATTAGGCAAAATTACATGTTCAACGTATAAATTTTTGTTTGTTTTCTTTTTCCTTTTTGCTTAAACTAATTCTAGTAGAATTTAATTTTTCGCTTTTAATATTAATTGTTTTTAAATTAAATTTTAATGATGAATGCTTATGAAGAGCAAAATATTTTCATTTTCTGGATTAAAAATTACATATAAAAAAAAATTATGCCTATCACTTAATTATGTTTACATATTGTTTAACCCATTATTGATTACGTAAAGTTCATTTATGTAAGAGATATACTGACTTTAAGAATAGGTTCTTGAATATGTGACATAACTGGACCTAATAATAATTAATATCCTGAGATAGTTTAAATGCTTCGAACTTTAATTTTCTTTAATTGATCGATATTATTAAGGGTATTTAAATTTAGTTTTAAAGAAACACTTTGAATTAACAAATATATATACAAATATTCTTTAAATGTAGAAGACATTTACTCTAAGTGAATTTTTACTTATAGATTCAAAGAGTTGGGACTGAAAAATATTCCCAAAATCTCATTTGACATAAAACCATTGAACATAAATTTCATTTGAAATGAAATTCATTTGATATTTTCATTGAGCATAAAATTAAATTAGCATAAATGTCATTTGACATAAAATTCATTTAACATAAATTTCATTTGGGATAAAACTCATGTATACTCATGCTTCCCATTTGATATTAAAATCATTTGATAAAAATTTTATTTGACATAAAATTCATTTAGCATACTTCTCATTTGACATTAAAATCACTTGATAGAAATTTTATTTAACATAAAAATCAAATGACAAATTTTATTTGACGTTAAACTGATTTGACATCAAATTTATTTAACATATTTTTGTAGACATAATATTCATTTGAAATAAAATTCATCTGATCTAATATAAAAGTCAATTAACATAATTCTCATTTGACATAAAATTCACTTGACAAAAAATTCATTTGACATGAAAATTACTTAAAATAAAATTCATTTGACATTAAAATCACTTAATAGAAATTTCATTTAACATTAAAATTACATGACAAATTTTATTTGATGTAAAACTGATTTGACTTAAAATTCGTTTAACATAAATGTCATTTGACATAAAGTTCATTTAACATAAATGTCATTTGACATAAAATTTGTTAGAATCTTTATAAATTTTATTTTCAAATATAATTCATTTGACATAAAATTTATTTAACATATATTTTAGTCTATGGCATAACATTCATTTGACATAATATTCATTTGATATAAAATTCACTTGACATGGAAATCAGATATCGTCAAGCAAATTAAGATGGGCGAATTTAAAAATTTGCTCTTATATTATTTATATCAAATGATCCTTATGTCAAATGAAATTTAGGACAAGTGAATTTTATGTCAATTAATAAATATGTTAAATGACTTTTATGTCAAATGAAGTTTATGTTAAATGAAATTTATATTAAATGATTTTGATGTTAAATGGCATTTCTGTTTAACGAATTTTACGTCAAATGAAATTTATGTCAGTATAAGTTTATGTAAAATAAAATTTATGTTAAATAAATAAAATTTTAAAAAAACTTTAATATAGTATAATTGAATAATTTTTTAATTCTATCGTTTAAAAATATTGGTTAGAAGAAATTTTTTATACCTTAGATACAATTCATTTAATTTTTCGTTTCTTAATTTTTAGAAGTTAAATTATTTATTTAACAATTCGAAACTTTATCAGAAAGCAAATATTAATTTATAAAAAAAAGTATTTAATTTAAATTTAATTGGTTTTATTTAAAGTACCAAACTGGGAGCAACTGTATGTATGTATAAGTGTGAAATTCATTATGTATCAACTCTACTTGTACAAGAGCTTTATACATAAACATCACCTGGGGTCAGACGGACGACCACAACTTGCTAGTTTCTATTTCAAGCTACAAGTTTCTATGTTATCAAGCTTTATTGTCTTCTAGACAACTTGTACTTGTATCTTACAAAGTCCCTATATTTGCATATATCCTTTGCTTTTAACACCTTGTGAAAATAATGTTTTTATGTAGTATACAGAATTTTTATTAGTGCCAATAGGGTATGGAACAAGATTTCTCAAGTGTATCAATTTCAAAAGTAAAAGTTTTCAAATTGGGATAATATTTGCATAAATTTTAATAGTATCAATAATTACTTTAACCACCAAGTATTATGAAATTTTATTTAAAAAATTTGCTCTTTCGCAAATAAAGCAAGAAATGATTGAAAAAATTCAAAATTTTATTTCTTTTTTGAAAATTAAAAATATTTTCGACATTTTTTTGAAAAAATTTTTAAGCACCATTGAAAAAAGGAAGAGGATAAAATAATAGCAAAATAATTTAGGAAATAAGGCATTATTGCTTTAACAAGAAATTTTATGTAAACAATCGTATTCTTCGTTAATAACAATTTTTATACAGTAAGAAATATAAAATGTAATCTCATTTCTTTATAAATTTCTTTTAAGGAGAATTTTAGTTTAAAAAAAAATAATATACAAAATGTAGGAAAAGTATATAATAAGCAGCAGTTTCAGTGAAATTAGTTTGGTTCTTCTCCACTCTTTGGTCCTGGACCATGTCCCATTGCCTTGTGGGTACAATGCATGAAAGTGTGAGCCAATTCACAATCATCCGCCTTGCTTTTCGCTGAAATTAAAAAAAAATTAAAATTTATAATATAAAGTCGAATAATTTTATTATAGTAACAGATAAAATTTCGTTCCAGTAAATAAAAAATAATGTTTTAATATAATATTTTTTGTAGTATAATATATAATATAAAATATATATGATATACATATTATATAATAAAATTTTCTGAAATTAAGTAGGTAATTAAGATAAAATGAAAAAAAATTATTTGATTTAAATAACCAATTTCTTGCCTAGATATATATTACCAAATAAATATTTACTTGAAGAAAATACCATTCAATAGATTTAAATAAAAATTATTTGACTCAAGTAAATATTTGTTTGTTAAAATAGTCAGGTAATTGATTTTTTTAATCAAATAAATTTTCTTTCACTGCATCAATTTTCAGAAAATTTTAAAATAACATTTCTCTTACTGTGGCGAAATTTTATTTTTAATTCAATAAAATTATTTTCACTCCCTGAGATTTAAAAGAAAATATTGCTCTGATTACCTTGTTCGGAACATTCTTGAATTGATTTCTTCACGTCATCAGTGACAGCTCCGAATCTTTGTGCTTTTTCATAAAGTTTATCCAAGTTAATTTCTTTATTTTCTTGAAGCTAAAAAAATAATTAAATGTAATTGTACTCTAAACTCTCAAATTTGATAAACAAAAAATTATGAATAATAAAACAAGACTTTTCTATTCATTTGTTAATATTGAATATTGAATAAAAATTTTCTTCCAATTTAAAAATTTTTAATAAATATTAACAATATTTAAGAATTAAGTTAAACATTATTTAATTATTAATGCTATACTATTTAATTAATTACTGATTATTAATTAATTATTACAATGTAATGTTTAAATTAAAAAGTTATTAATATTTTCGTGATCGCGCTCGCTGCGCTCCACAGTGAGATAATAAGACAAAATTTGGTTCGATTTAACTTTTAGACCACAATTTTTAACCAAATTAAAATTTTTTTTTCCCTCTAACTCAGAACTAAATTCTAAAAATATCTGTGAAAGTCAATTTTTGAAATTTTGTTTTATAAACTTTTAATGTTAATGTAAAGAGTGCAAAAAATGATTTTTTAAACTTTTCAATATATTTTAAACAAAAATTTTTTTACGTACTCAATATTGCAAACATTTTATGTCTGGAGGTGTGTAAGTATTAAAAAAATTGTTTCTAAGATTAAAAATTGTTATAAACAAATTATATAAACAATTACACTCTAGGCAAAGATATGACTAAAAATAATTTGTTTGTTTTATAAATTTACTTCAGCTAATTGAGATTGAACTTTCTTTTCATGAAATTTATGTTTTGCAATAATTTTTCTTAATTAATTTAAACAATTTTTAACAAACAATTGCACTAAAAGGACATTTTTGTGCACAAATGAATAAAATTTTTTACAATTAATGTTTCTCCTTAATCGCCTAGAAATTATTCTTATGAAAAAGTTATTTTGTAAATAACTTTATAATTTTTATAAATAATTACACTTTAGGCACTTTAGGCAAAGTTATTTTCATCAAATTTAATTGTTAATGCTATTTATTTGTAAAAATAAGAGAAATCGAAGCAAAACTTCGTTTTCATTAGAAGAAATTAACTATATAATTTAATATTAATTTATAAAACACACTATTAATTTTTGACCAAAAATGTTTGATGAATATAATTGTTTATTCAATTTGTTTATAAAAATGATAAAGTTATTCAAAAAATAATTTATTTTCGATAATAATCCCTGGGCAGCTTAAATGGAAACTTAATTGTAAAAATTCGATTTATTTCTGTTCAAAAAAGCCTCTGAAATGCTATTGATTATTAAGATTGTTTAAATAATTAAGAAAAATTATCGCAAAACATCAGTTTCATTAAGAAAAAAGTTAAATTGCAATAAGCTGCAGTAAATTTCTAAAAAAAAACAATTTCTTTTAGTCATAACTGCGCCTAAAGTGTTTTTTTTTCTATAAATACTCGTGATAAAACAGGGAATCGTAATTGACCAGAAAAAATGCGAAATTAGGCGGAGAAATTTATTTTATTTCTATTTGTTTAGAATAATTTTTGCTATTTTAAACAAATTATGAATAAAATTTAAAAATTATTTTTTGTTTGAAGGTATGATTATTGTATGTTACTCATACCAAATTTTATTAAAATCCATCAAATAGAATGGTAGGAAAAATTTTTTTAATAATTTGATGTGTAAAAATTGTTTAAACAATATCTCTTAAAAAAATTAAAATTTTGCAAAATCAACTTTGGGGTCATATTTTGGTACGAAAATACTATAAAATTATTAATATGAAACATAAAAATATCTCCATCGAAAAATTAGTGGCACGCTTCAGAAATTTTTAGCCATACCTAAATATTTAATATTCTTTGAAAGAATTAGACGTACTGACAAATTAGCTTTCTCCCTCGCCCTTTTTCCTTAAATAAACTAGGATTTAGAAATTAGAAATAAAAAATTGACAGTAACTTACGACCCCATCCTTCTTCATTAAACAAGCTGGCATACATCGCAATTTTTCATTTTTAAAATCATGATTCCTATGGAGCTCTCGTTCTTCCTCTGAAAGCAGATGAAGAAATCTTTTATTGACCAAAAAATGGGGGGTGGCAAGTTTTTACTTAATTTACCTAATTAATTAAAATAACAAATAAAGCAAACATTAATCAACTTAACTTAAACTGATAAATAAAAAGAAAGTTTAATTGTTTCATTATAATCAAATTCATCATTTTGAACAGTTAATTATAATATTAGTTTAAATTTATAATATTAATTGTCATAATATTAGTAAAATATTATATTATATTATAGTTATAATATTAGTAAAATATTATATTATAATGTAGTTATAATATTAGTAAAATGTTATAATAATTTAATTACAATATTTTAACATTAATATTATAATGAGAAAAATATTTTAACTAAATTTATTTACCCATTGAAATTCCAAGTTCTGTACGACATTCATCCATATTTTTCTTCATTTCCTCTGTCATAGGCGGGGGTGGATGTGGTATACAATTTACCTATTTATTTTGAAAAATTGAAAAAACATTTATCGTAAAAAAATATTACGGAAAAACTCAATAAAAATATATTTGAACAAAATTAAAAAATTGTTTCTTTATACAAATATCTACACAAAAAAAGCTTCACCTAGAGCAGCAATAAATTTTACTATATTTACGAAAGTTTTAGTTCCTTCACTTTAAGACTTTCGCTATTCTAGAGAAATTTATTGCTCTTCCAGGAAAAGTTTTTTTTCCCTATAGGCAAATTAAAAAAAAATATTTCTTACCACTGAAATGACTGTAACTACGGTAAATAATACTAAACACTTCATTTTTATTTATCTCTTTCCTTTTGAGTTTTGTTTCTCTCTTTTCGAACACGCGTTTTAAAAAACTAAAAAGAAGTCTCTTCACACACTGACTGACAAACTATTGAACGTTCTCCTTTTATATATACGTCTAATAATTATATAGTAGTTAAAATCAAAATGAATTTTTATATGATTCTTTTATAACACTGACACTAAAAATTATGTTTAATTCTACTATTACAGGATGTGTGCTTCCGATTTAATTGTCTCAAATCTTATTTTATGTAACGACAAAATAATTAAAACTTTATCGCCTCTAATATGTTTCAAAACCTTGAAATTTATAGAAAAAAAGAACAAGGTCGAAGAAAAAAAAAGTAAATTGCAGAAGGATTTTTATTTACACTTATTTAGATATAATGAAATTTATAATAATATATATTTATTAATCGCTTTTTGTAATAAAATAATTAAAAATAGAATTTAGTTTTAATTTAATATATAAATACGTTTCCCAAAAAATGATTATTAATAACAGAATAAATAATAATTAATCAATATTATAATTATAATAATAATAACAGCAATATAATAATAATAAAATACCTATTTGGATAATTTTAATACTAAAATAATAAAAATAGTAATAATAATAATTAATAATTTTTATTATTACTCTTATAGTAGTAAAAATGTATAAATTATATATTTAAAACTTCAAAAATTCCACTCATTGATACAGTTCTTTTTACTAGATTTTTTGGTGCGAACATTCTTCGTAAGCATTTGCCAAATCGCACATATCTGCAATACCTTTGACTGAAAATTTAACGAAAACAATTTTTTTTTTAATTATAGTCAAATAATTGTATTAAAAAAATTATATGACAAGTGATAATACTTATATTATCACTTTTATAATAAATAGTAATATAAAATTATTTCGAATAGAGAGTACACGGAAAAGAAAAGAATTCTCCTGGAACAGCGATAAGTTTCTCTAAAATAGCGAAAGTATTTATTGATGCAACTAAAAATTTCCCTAATGCAGTGAAATTTTTAGTTGTTCCAGGTAAGGATTTTTTTTCCGTGTAATTATTATATTTCAAAATTGCATTACCTTTTTCACTACAACTTGTTAGTACTTTCATCATTTCATCGGCTTTTTCAGGATATAATGTATGTTCAATACTCGATATTGTATTCATATTCAGCTGATTATTCTCGTTCATCTAAAATAAAAAAAAATTTAACAAAAAAAAAAATTTTTTAATTTAAAATAAAAATTAATTTGAAAAAAAATTAAAAAATTTTTATTAAAAATTAATTTTAATAAATTAAAATTTAAATTTTACTTTTACTTGTTACTAAATTGTTATTTAGAAAAAATATTTAAAAGATTGTTTTTGTTGCATAACACAATAACATTAAAATTTTTTTCCAGCGTATTTCTTTAGTAGCCAATAATTATTTTTATTTAATAATTTTTTTCCTTTTTTCTCCTCCTTTTCACCAATTTCTATAGTAAATATTTTATAGTTGCAAAAATTTTTCTTTGCTTCCAAGAATAAAAAATATTTTCATTTCCTACCTCATTCGTTTTTTTCATGAAACATGCAGAATAGCAACGTAATCTTTTCTTAGCAAAATCATGATCTGCCCTCATCTTTTGTCCCTCTTCTGTTAAATATTCAAAAATTTTCAATTGAAAGTAAATTTTCATTAATTTTTTCAATTTTAGTTCGTTTTATTTAAATTTAAATAATAATAATAATTTTAAACATTCGTACATCCAGTGATATATGTATATATATTGAATAATAATAATTGTAATTTTTATGTGTCAAAAAATATTTACTCAGAGGATTCTTGGAGTTTATAAATCCGAATATAATAAATTACGTTAAAAAAATTCAAAGTAACGGATCCCATATGGCAATCAAAAATGCTGACAGTTACTGAATTGAAAAATTTTGGCTAACATATTGAATCCGCCATTTTAAATTTTTAAAATTTGACATTAAATTTACATTCAATGATCCCAGAAACTCACGAGTATAAACATTTTTAGACAAATATCTTGATTTTAAAAATTTTTGGTCGCCATATTAGATTTGCCATTTTGAATTTTTTAAATCTGATATTAATTTTCGATTCTTGAATAAGTAATAAATGTTTAAGTTTTTAAAAGGAACAATTAAAAAATTCTTAATGAGAAAACATCATCTAACAAATTTTAAAAATTAATTACTTATAATATTATTATACTGTATTTATAAAAACTATTTGTATAACATTTTTTTATATATGTTTCTTAAAATTAATTAACTTTTTCTGGTTGAGAGTTAATTTTCAAATAAATTTTAATAGAATTTAGTGTCTTAGAGGGAAAAAATGTTGATACACTTGAGAAAATAAACAATTCTTTATATCATTAAAAAAAGTAACTAAATAAATATTTTTTGATATTAAATAAATAATAATAATTCTGTAGAAAACTCTTAAAAAAGAATCTAATGTTATTAAAAAAAGGAATTCTTACCTTTTGTTATATTCATTTGATTGTAACATTCAGATGCGTGCATAATCATTTTTCGTCTTAATTTCGTAATTTCATCTTCACAATTTACAAACGTCTATATTTAATTAAAAGAACAAATTTATTAAAAATATATATATTAAAAAACGTATACAATTGAAAAATAACAAAATTACAATAAAAATTGGTATTTAATTCATTTTATATTTACCATTATTAAGATGAAATAGATTGAAATAAAAAATATAGTCGACTTCATGATTCTCGTAAAATAATTTTTTTTGGTATATTTTTTAAGTGTTTACAAGGCTGAAGTAATTTAACAACTAAGAATATTATGTATTTCTTCTTTTATTTGTACCTGTTCAAACACTTACATAATTTTCAATATAGTTTAAATTTTATTTTATTTGTTATTTTACCGTTAATTTTTATAGCCAAGTGTCTATATATACATAGTATTGTTTTTTTTGTACACTTTTAAAAAAAAAAAAAAAAACCAAGGATTAAATAACCTTCAGATAAATATTTATTCTGTTCATTTTATTCTTGAAATTTCAATGTTAATTATACAGAAGTAATTTTTAAATATTTTTATGGAAGAAAAATATAAAATGACAGCCAAATTGAGACAATTGAAAGACATTACTTTTTTTTATTGACGAACAAATACAATTATTTTAAATAATATTATAGTATAATCAATTTTATTACATTACATTATTATAATTAAATACAATTAAATTATAAATTAGAATGCAAAAATTTTGAAATTGGTCAATATTTAATTATCTTTTTTGTATAAGTTTATACATTTCGCAAAATGACGATTGTATAGATAAATCATTTTTCGATTAAAATTTGTATTTTTCTCAACAATCATATTTTAATTATTTTCTTCGCTGCTTTTTTTCATTTTTAGATTTCCTTATAATGGAATTTGTACACAAAATCCAAACTCCAACAAATTCGCATTTTTCTTTTATATCTGTCAATGAAAATTTTTTATTTTTTGTTAGTTATTACTTACTCTCTAAATCTAAATAAGTGAAATTTATTTAATTTATTAAAATATCTAGATGTAGAGAATATATTTAACTTTTTTTAAATAATAACATTAATATGCATACTATACTTCCATAAAATATTCTACGAATGTGAAAAAATTATTTTAAAATTAAATTTTAATTTAATATTAATTTATTAAAAAATGATACTTATTTTTTAATTAAAAAAATGACAATTTCGTCAAACATTTTTGATCGGATATTAAATAATAATGTTGATTATATAATTTTTAAATACCTTTAGGGATACATTCCATTCTTCTCTTTAATGCTATTTCCAATTTGTCTTTGTCTTTTAAATTTTTTTCTAAATATGCCTTTAAATTTTCTTCATTTACTTTTAAATTGTCATCAATCTATAAAATATGCGTATTTTTTTATTATATATTTTTATGTTAAAAATGCGTATACATTTTGTATTTTATTTATTTCGTGTTGCTTTATTTTTATTTGTTACTTACTACATCAATTTTTTTATAATATTTTGCGGTACGACAATAACCATCCATTGATGAGTTTTTCACGGCTTCTAACCTGACTAAAAACTGTATGGTAAATTGGCAAATTCTTATCATTTGTATATAAATTTTTATTTTTATTATTAATCTTACAGTAAGGAATTAAAAGATCTGCAGAACATTGTGCAATTTTATCTATTGTATCATCAACACATTTAATATAACCCTGAGAAAAAAATTAGATATTACTATTAATATTAATTATAATTATATAATAATTATTATAATAATGAAATATAATTTATTATATTAGTAATTCATTAATAATTAAAAAAATAATGTGATTAATAATATTGACAATAAATAATTTATGTCAACTTCTATAAAGTTTATTTTTTCAGACTTTTAATTTATAGTAAAGAATCAGAGACTCACGATTTGGAAAAAAGTAATTCCAAATAAAATTAATATACACTTCATTCTTCACTTATTTAACTTTACTTTCTTACTTTACATGTAAAATAAAATAAATTCTTCTTCTCTTGTATTTATACTCCTCGAAATAATAAACGTACAAATTTTTTGCAAATATTTCCATTCAAAAGACAGGAAGTTTATTATTTTGTTTTACACTAAATTTTTTTTTAAATAATTGCTCTCCGTGAAACATAAAATTAAATTTATCAAAAAAGCAAATACTTTTTCAATTCGTTACTTTAAAATATACATAAAAAATATTGTGAGGAAAATTTAAAATAAATTCTAATAAAATAAAAATTTGTTTTTTCTTTCCTTTTATTTGTCAACAATATAATTTTACATCAACAGTAGATAAGGATTACAATTGTATTTTTATTACTTTTCTCTTTCAAATTCTTTCAATTTTGGAAAATTCATTGAAAAAATGTTTTTATTTTAGATTATATTGTATAAATATAAAGCATTATGCTTTCATGAAGACTGAATCGGCGCATTTTCCATATTCATTTGCAAAATCGCATTTTTCTGTCTTTTGTTGAGCTGTAACAGTAAAATTGATTTGTTTTTCTTTTAAAATAGTTATTTTATTGAAATTTTTCCATTTAAATAAAATTCGAAAAATGTAACTAACTAAATTTAAGATTTTATTTTAAATAAAATATTTTTAATATTTAATTAAATTTAATTCATTAATTTAGATTTAATCAATTTTTTTTATATTTAATTGAATTATATTTTACCTTGCGCTAGACATTTAACGTGAGTACTTTCAATATCAGCTTCAGTTACACTTGGATTATAACCAACCATTAATTCCTTAAGTTTGTCGACTTTAATTTCTCCATCTTTCATCTAAAAATTGTAGACCAATATTTCTTAACAAAATTTCAATTTTTTTAAATGTACTTCATTATTTTTTTTTAGTAAATTTAAGAAAATTTGAAAATAATGAAGAGTTAATTAAATACTTTTAAAAATTTTAAATAGTTGAAAGTAACTGATTGCTAGTCAAATTAAATTCGCCTTTTTTATGAATTAGTAAAAAACTTGATTTCAGTTATACAAGGAAAAGAAACAAAAGAATAAAAATAAATTTAACTAATTAGTTACTTTGAGAAAAATAATAATTTGTAAAATTATGACTAATATTTGAGTTAGTGACAGACGTTAAATTGAAAATTAAATGCAAGATTACAAAGTTAATTAAATTAATAATTGAGGGTCCCGATCGAAGAACCCCTGTTAATTTTTTTAAGCTACAAATCATCGTCAAATAAAAATTAAATAGTTTTAAATCATAATTTTTGGAGGAACTTTTTCGTAATCTTTATACAAATACGAAATGCTTGCAAGAAATCGAAATTTTGAATCCTTTTTTAATTTAGGAGGGGAGAATTTTGAGTTTAAAAATTATAACCGCTTTTTCGATCGGAACACTCAATTTTACTTTTAGTTATTTTTAGTTTCACTTTTTTAATTATTTAGTTTTTAATTTTAGTTTGGTTGTAAACTATATAAAAAATAATTGTTAATATTAAGAAATAATAATATAATAAGTAAAAACAAAAAATAAGTAAATAATGGGTAAGACTCCGTCAGAAAAATTACAATTTGCATGGAGTCTTCGGATTATTCTGTAATTTGGTGAAGTTGTTATATTTGATAACAAAAATAATTGTACCAAAGAATTTTTAAAAATTTTCAAAATTGTAAAAGTTACGCCATTTTGAATTTTTTTATAAGATTTTTTTAAAATGTGAATATTTCCGAAACAATTTAACGGATTTTAATGAAATTTAAATATGTTATACTTAAAATCATATCCTTTCAGAATTTTTCAAAAGAAAAAAAAAATTTTTTGTTTTTTTTAAAAAAAAAGTAAAAAAAATTTTTTGAATCGATTTATTAACAGCATGTGATTGTTACAGAATTCAATGTTAATTTTTTCGACCAATTTTCTCTTAAAATATTAAATAAATTAAGCTAGTTTTTTGTGAATAACTCTAAAATATCATAAAGAAGGGCAGTGATGTGAAAAAGTTTTAATATTTTTAAAACTATTTATTAAAAAATAACTTTAAAATTATCAGTTCTCAAAATCACTTTTAATCAATTTCTCGTCTTTTCCGATTTCAAAGTATTTTTTCATAATTTATTTTAGAATTATTAAAACTTTTGCACATCACTGCTCTTCTTTATTATATTTTAGAGTTATTCACAAAAAACTAGCTTAATTTATTTAATATTTTAAGAGAAAAGTGGTCGAAAAAATTAACATTGATTTCTGTAACAGTCACATGCTGTTAAGCTCAAGCAAACAATTTACAATATTTTTGTAAAAAAATACTGTTTATTTTTTATTTTTCCATTGCACAAGATCGAAATCAATTTAAATTAGTCTAGTCTGACCACCTGACAAATAATAATGCATAATACAGTTTATTTAAATTGTTAAAAAAAACAATTAAAATAAACAAATAGATAACTTTGGTCTTTTTTTTGAAAATTGTTTTTTTTTGTAGACAAATTTATGTTTATTTAAGTAATGTATGTCTATTTTGTAAAAAAATGATTTTAAAGTTAACAATTATTATTGTTATTAATAATTATATAACCAATAATCTATTTTCTTTTGCATTTATAAACATTTCCAGCATTTTTTAAACTTAAAATGTTTATATCATATGTACATTCTTTCAAAAAGTTAAAAAAATTACTTATTGATTTTAAAACAATTTTAATTAACAAATTGATAACATTAGTCTTTTTAAAAAAAATTGTTTTTTTTAGACAAATTTATGTTTATTTAAGTAATTCATGTCTACGTTGTAAAAAAATGATTTTAAAGTTAATAATTTCTTTATAACAAATGTAATTGTTTAAGCTAATACATTTTTTAAGTTTTTGAAAGAATATACATATGATATAAATATTTAAAGTTTAAAAAATAACGAAAATGTTTATAAATGCAAAAGAAAATAGATTATTGGTTATATAATTATTAATAACAATGATAATTGTTAACTTTAAAATCATTTTTTTACAAAATAGACATACATTACTTAAATAAACATAAATTTGTCTAAAAAGAACAAGTTTTTTTAAAAAAAGACAAAAGTTGTCTATTTGTTAATTTAAATTGTTTTTTTTTAACAATTTAAATACACTGTATTATGCATTATTATTTGCCAGGTGGTCAGACTAGACTAATTTAAATTGATTTCGATCTTGTGCAATGGAAAATTAAAAAATAAACAGTATTTTTTACAAAAATATTATAAATTGTTAACTTTGAGTAACAAAAAAATAAATAAACAATTAAAAATTCAAAAATCGGTTTAAAGAGGTCTCTTAGAAATTTTATCCCCTTTCATTTAAGACCAAAAACATCAAAATCCAATAAAATTTGTAGGCTCTAGACAATTTTGAAGAGTAAAGTGTAAACAAAACCCACTGTGAGGCGTCCCGGGTAAAAGATACTGCGCTGGCACTGAAACGTGGTCGCGCTTACACAAAAATTGCAATATCTCGAATACTATTCAAGTCTCCATCGTTTTCTTTTTTTTAAATGAAAGGTGAAATTATAAGGAATATTTTATTATATGTCGAAAAATACTCAAAAATCGGTACCGTGCTTAAGAAATCGATTCAAAAAAAAATTTTCTACTTTTTTTTTGAAAAAAACAAAAATTTTTTTTTTCTTTTGAAAAATTTTGAAAGGATATGATTTTAAGTTTAACATATTTAAATTTCATTAAAATTCGTTAAATTGTTTCGGAAATATTCACATTTTAAAAAAATCTTATAAAAAAATTCAAAATGGCGTAACTTTTACAATTTTGAAAATTTTTAAAAATCCTTGGTACACTTATTTTTGTTATCAAATATAAAAACTTCACCAAATTACAGAATAATCCGAAGACCCCATGCAAATTGTAATTTTTCTGACGGAGTCTTACCCTAATACAAAATTAAAATTTAAAAATATTAAAATATTAAATTTTTTCTTTTCAGAAACTTACTACTCCACTTTCTGACATGAAACATTCTCGCAGACAACGATTTTTTGCATTTATACTGTAATCATTATTTTTAACAGCCGTTATGTATTCATCTGTAAAATATGTTTCATTTTCTTTGTAGTCTAATTTCGTATTAAAAATTCTTCTCTTTAAATTAAAAACATTTACAAAAATTCTTACCTTTAGAGACGTCGAATTTGTTTAAACAACTGTCCATAACAGCTTTCATGCTTTCAGGCATATCATCCATTTGACAATTCACTCCTGCCTATTTATTATTTAATTGTAAATATTAAAATAATTATTTGTTTATTTTTAATTATTCAATTATTTTTCATTATTTATTTATATTGAATTATTAATTTTAATAATATAATTCTAAATTTATTATTATTCATAGATTAATAGTGAATTTCGTTATAAAGAATGTTCACTATTAATATAAGGAATAAAGAAATAAAAATAGTTTTCATATTTTAAATTACATATAAACTTAAAATATGAAAACAATTATTTATAACATTCTTACTTATTTATGCATATAATAAATTTATTATTATTAAACAAACGAATGTTGAAAAAATTTGAAAACTATTTAAAGAAAAAATGTATAGTAATGTTGGAAATAACTCTATTAATTTTTTTATTTAGTTATAATTTATGAATTATTTCATCTTTTTATTATTAAAAACTTTTTATTTATTTCAACAAATACTGTTTGGAAAATTCCGAAATACAGTTTTTTTTTAAATTTTTCCACTAGAAGATAAATAAAATGTGTTAATTAAAATTTTTAAATTGTTTATGAAATAAATAAATAAAATAATGTACTGAAAACAATTAACAATTGAAAATTAATTAATTCCATTTATTCATCGATTTTCAATTATATTTCAAAGAATATAAAGAAATTAATTTTTCATTTAATTAATAAAGACGAGAAAATTATTAATTAATAAAGAATTTTAAAATTGAGTAAAATAAAGTTTTATTGTTAAATAAATAATAAATTAACAAATCAATATATGAAAAAATCAATAAATAGATTAATTAATTGGTTGATTAATTAATAAAAAAATAGTTTGAATTTACCACTGCAAGAAGCAGTACACCAAGAAAAATTGTAAAATTTTTCATTGTTTAAAAAATGTTATTTTTATCAATAATAATTTAAGTAGCAGACACAATATTGTTTTTAATACTGACAAGTTTTCAAAAGTTCCTGTCATATTTATATCAACCTGTAGATAAATGCATTATTCATTAGATGTAGACAATTCAAGGTGTCAGATTTGAAACACATTCAAAAAGTGCACGAGAATTGTGAGATAATGGAGCTAATCTACAATTTTTTTTTTCCTTTTTTTTACGTAAGTACATTTAATTACCAATCAAAATTACCGTACACGAATCGCTTTACTCGATTGTTAAGATCTTTTTATTACACCATGGTTTATGAAGTTTCTCAGAAAACAGGAATAATTAAAAATCTTTAAATAACCTTTAATTGGAGTAATAATTCGAGATGTTACACGCATATAAAGACGTTGAATGTATACTTGTATTTTGAAGATGTAAATCTTTTCTCAATATTGGTTAGTATTTTTGCGTTTATTCAAGCAGAAATATACAGGAAATGTTCGGAGGAAAAAAAATTGTGTACTTGAAAGTAAGTTGATTTTTATGAAAAATAAAACAATTATAGGTTTTTTTTGGGAAAAATAATTATTACCTACTTTAAACACTTTATTGCTTATTGTAAATTTTTATTTTAAAAATCAGAAAACTAAACATTTTTTCACTTTTAAATTACAATTTTGAATATATTTTTGCAAGTTGTTATGAATAGTCCCGGTATTAAAGTAACTGATTAATAACCATTTAGTCTGGGTTCGAATCCTGATGGAGATTTTTACATTTCCAATTTTTTATTCATTTTTATCCTTCATTAAGAATAGTAATTTTATTCATTTAAAATGCAGTTTCTTAATTCATTAAACAATTCACAATCGTCCTGAATAAATGGTACTGAAAAAAAAATTAATTTTCATAATCAACAAAACTAATTTGGTAATAATTTTTTAAATAAACAATTTTTAATCTTTAGTAACTATTTTCAATCTATTTGAAATTTTTTTTAAGTTTATAAAATACTTATAAATTATTTACTTTCTTTAATGCAGCTCTCGATTATTTCTTTTGTCTCCTGTGAATCAACTGACGATTGGAAATAATATTCAAAAAGTTCTTTTTCATTGATTTTTCCATTTTCAATCTGTAACAAATAATTTATTACGAATATAGAGAATTTATTTACTTCGCCCTTTTGTGTAATTAAAATATTTTTTTATATCTTCTTACAATGCCAATTTTTTTAGCAACACACGTGTGAAAACAAATTACATCAATTTCACTTGAATCAATTTCATCAACTGAAAAATGTTTAGAAAAGTAATTAATAATTTTTAATAATAACAAGAAAAATTTGTTATAAATGAGTGGAAAAGAAAATAAAAAACTTTTCACCTGCAATATTGAATTCTTTTAAACAGTCATCATAAGCATGTTCGATTTCATTATCAGAGAGTGTTAATGTTCCCTTTAACTGTTAAACAAATTAATTGCATAGTTTAATTATTTCTAAATATTTTTATTGTTTGCTTACGTTGTATAATTAGAAATTAAACTTATACGTAAGGTAGTGAAGTAGAAGTGCGGCGAAAGTGTCAGAGAGTAGGGACAATGAGTCTGAGAGAGAAATTTCAGTTTTCCTCTCTCACTCTCATTGACCCCACTCTATACAGCTCGACCCCACTCTTATCTAGTCTCTCCCCACTCTAGCGCAACTGAACGCTACTGAAAATTACTGAATTACTAGACAAGTAAAAATTAGATTACACTCAAAATTTATAAATTTTTTTAATGTTAATTTCTTAATTTAAATTGAAAAACAAAAATTTTAATTTTTAATTTGAAAACTAAAAAAATTGAATTACATATTTAATTTATTTTATTTTATACATTTCGTTTGATAAAAAAATTATTATCACATAGATACTCTCTAAATACTCACCAATAATGAACAAAATACAAATAAAAAGAGAAAATTTACAATCATTTTAGAAAATATTTCTTTCCCTCGTATTTCTGAATGTTATATATTTTTTTTCTCGATACTAAAGTTAGTTACATATGAGCATTCTTTTATATATGTTCATCACAAATGTCAGTGATTTGAAAGATTTGAAATAATGACAGGAAACTGGATAATAATAATTTACTATTTATTTATACCATAAGTGATGAAAAACAAGGTTTTTGATAAGTTTCCTTTTTTTAATTCAAAAATATGCAGTTCATTATCAAAATTATCAATTATATGACTTCGTGTTATTAGTAATTATTAACCTTTATATCTGTTAATCTTGAAATAATATAATTATATTATTATCTATTGTATATAGTTCTTATATAAAGTTAATTTTATTGATAATCTAAAATTCTAATAATTTAATTTTTATTTATTTCAAATTAAACTTTCAGTTATTCTATAATTAAATGTTTAATTAATTTTAAATTGAATTTTTAATTAATATAATTAAAATTAATTTTCAATTAATCTTGGTAATTAAACTTTTAATTAATTGAATTTTTATTTATTCTAAATTGAATTGAATTCTTAATTCATCAACTTATATTGAATTTCTAATTAATCCAATTGAATTGAATTTTTAATTAATCTAATTGAATTAAATGTCGAATGAATCGAATTGTATTAAATTTTGAATTAGTCGAAGTGAATTGAATTTTTAGTTAATCGAATTCAATTAAATTTTTAATTAACCTAATGAAAAATCGAATTAAATCCATTTACTAATTATATGTAACTTTCTGTTTTTAGGTATGTTTCCAGGATTCATAGCTTTCTGCCTATAATCATTAACTAGTGAGTCAATTTTAATCCTTTTGTATTAAATTAATTTTGATAAAATATTTGAACATAAAAATTACATATTTAAGAAGTGACAATTTTGTCAATTAAATTAAAAACTAGATGAGAAAATGTGAAAAAGATTTTAACGTCAATGTTATTAATTTTTATTCTAAACACATTTCATACAGTATTTCTAAAATTTATTAGAAATAAATATTTATTTATTAAATATATAATTTTATTAAGATTTTATAAAGTATATAATTTCATCAATATATAATAAAATATATTACTAATATTTATCGCAAAAAAATATTTTAAAAACGTAAATTTCAAACCGATTGAAATAATTATATTATATTAAATTATATTAAATTATATTAAATAAATATTCATAAAAAATCCTTCATATAATGTTATAAGTAGTACTACATAAATTTTAGAGTTTTTAAAATATTTAGTTGAAAAATTTCAAAAATTAACATTTTAGAATTAAAGTACTTTTTGCTTTATTATTATTACAATATTATTCAATAATAATAACGTGAGTTATTTACGTTATTTATTTTTTACGTGCTCTGGGTATAAAAAATAATTGTTTATTCTAAATCTTAATTTTTACTTCCTTTAGGAAATAATTGTTGGTCAACACATTTCTGCAAGTGTAAATATTGTTCACATTCGTCTGTCGTATCGGGCACTAAACAATTAAAATAATTTTACATTAATTTCATTTTCTCTAGGTTTATAAAAAATTCGCGTTAATATGTTTTATTTAATTTCACTTTTATTTTGATTATTGTTATAATTATATTTTTATTCTAATATTCAGAAGAAAAAAATTTTTTAAAAGCACACAATACTTACAACTGTCACCACAAATCTCATATGCTTTCAATTCGTCAGCAACTGTTTTTGAATCCTCAACATCAAGCAAATATTTTGAATATTTCTCCAAATTAAATTTTTTGTCTTTAATCTACAAAAAAGAAAAACGGAAATTTTATGATAAATTTTTAAAAACAGTATTTTTTCTTCGTGATTTTTTGTGTTACTCACTATTCCTGCTTTCACAGCTATACAAGAATTGAAACAAGTTAAATTCACATCTGTTGAATAAATTTCATTCACTAGAAACATTAAATTGAAAATACATTACTTGTCAGTCGTAAAATCAAAATATATTACTTGTCAGAAATTTTTTTTTCAAATTTTGTAAAATTTATAACCTGTAAGATCGTATTCTTTCAAACACTGATCAAAAGCTCCATCCATTTTTTCCTCATTATCTTGACAATTTATTTCCTTCTGAAATATCGTAATTCAATGTGTACGTAAATTAATATCTTTAATTATACACAAAATTCACCGATTATTATTATTTGTTATTTTATAATTATTAATATTAATAAACTACTTTATTAGTCGGAAAAATTTTCTAAATTTGTTTCACATATTATTTTCCATTTCAACTTACCATAATTGTGAAAATAAATAAAAAAATAACTAAAAATACCTTCATTATTTTTCACTCAATATTTAACTTATTTTTAAAAATGAAAAATGTATAGCGTCGAGTCGATACTGAAGTTTTAAAAATATTTCCTATCGTTTATATATGTATTCACATATGCCCTGTTCCTCTATAAATTAAAACAATGATTCGAAACACAACACCGGAAACTGGATTGTAATCTTGAATCATATATTCTTTGTAAACAAAGGCACTTTCATGAAAAAGCAGTGCAGAAAGCTAATTCACAAATTAAAAATAAAAACTTTCATTCATACCATAATTTTCTTGGAAATTCCATAGTCAGTGTGCATAGGCAAAAAAAAATTTTTAATTTGCTGATAAAAATTGTTGCACTGCAATTCCTATACAGGGAAAAAAAATTAGGGAAAAAAATGGGACAAATTTGTAATTTTAAAATGATTTAATTATAGTAAATAAATTTGTAAACTGTAATAATAATAATTGTAAAAAGGCCTTATATTATTTTGGTTTCAAATTCTTGCTTTTTATTACAAAATAAATAAAAAAACAAAGGCGATTAATTAATTTTTAATTAATTTAATTTAATTTTTTAATTAATTAATTTTTAACAAAGGCGATTATTACAAAATAATTTGAAATATTTTTATTTTTATTACATTTTTCATAATTTTTATTAGAAATATAATATTAATTATTAATTTTCTTCCGTCTATGATAAAAAAAAAAAAAAAAGTTATGAAAAAATTTGAAACAATTATCAAAGAATTAAAATTTTTACATACATATGTGTTCTCATCGTTATTTATTTATCTCTATGGGAAAAAATTTAACTGAAAATAAAACACATTATGAGAATTATGAACGTTACCATTTAGAAAATTGGTATTTTTTATATGAAATTTGTACTCACACTACTATCAAACTGATAAGAGCATTTGCAATATGCAAATGAAGCTTCACAAAGGTCTTCATGAACTGGAAAAACAATATTTATAAAAATTTTTATAAAATATATAAATATTTCTATAATAATAACAAATTTTAATATTTATAATTAAAAGAACTGCAATTTTTATAATTTTACAACATTATTTAAAAAAAAAAGTTTTCTTAATATTAAAATTAATTAATTAAAAAATTGCCTAAAATCAGATAAACTGTTAACTTTTACTATTTTTACGGAGTAAATTTTAATACATGTGCTTTGTTTAAATAAAAACTTTGTTTGTATTATGTTTTTCTAAATTAATTTAAAATAATAAATAGGAAAGTATATATCTAATAATTAAAATTTAATTAAAGCAATTATATAATGTTTTTATTTTTTATAATTTTTTAAATTGTTTTATTTTTCTATTTGATTTATTTAATATAGACAAACTAAGTAAATTTTGCTCGCAATTTTATAAATATTTTTATTATTATTGTTAATATTATTAAAAAATTATAATAATTCTGTATGTTTTCTAGAAAAATTTTTTAATCTCTTACTAGTAAAATGTTCACAAGCTTCTATCAATTGAAGCATTCGACTAGCAAGATTGTCTTCGACTAAAGCTTGAATTTGTGATTTCATGGAAGATGTTACAATTTTTCCGCCTTTAATCTAAAACAATTTTTTACATTCATTAAAAAAATTTACATATTATTTGCTTTAAATAAACGGTTACTTTTTTATTATCAAATAAATATTTCTTTGTATCAAATAATAATTTTTATTAAAGACAATTAAATAGTATTTGCTTCAAATACTGAAGGGTTCAAATTCAATTTATTTTATTTAAATAACAATTACTTAATTCAAGTAAATATTTATTTGAATCAATGAAATTTTTTTCCAATATAAATTCTCTTGGAATTAAAATAATCATTTCATTATTTAAAACTAATGTTATAAGATTTTTAAATCACTTTTTTAAAATTTTTCACTTACAGTTTTTAGTTTTTGAAAAAGACACATTAAATAACACTTGAGTTGTGGGTCGTCTACGAAATTTCCTTTATTTACTTCGTCAATTAAATCTAAATATAACGGAGAATAAAAAATAATTTATCATAGTAACAATTTTTAAAAATGTTAAATATCTTTTTTGCATTTGACATTTATTTTTTTAATTTAGAAAAAAAGGATTTTTAACTTTTTATTATAATTAAAATAAAAAGTAAAATCGATTTTAAATGTTAGAATTATTTTTAATTAACAAAAATACCTGGCGAAACTCCTGATTGCTCAATGCAAGGTGCTTTAAAGGGTTTTACCATTTTTTTCAATCCATCCAAATTAAATTTCTTTTATGAAATTACAAAAATAGTAAAGTATATTAATTTTTAGAGTTGTCTAGAAAAATTATAATTTTCAAGAAGCAAGAAAGAAATCATCTATTTATAATTATAATTTTTTACTTATATTTTATCATTTATAATTCACAATATCATATTTATAGATATTTATAAAAGTGTTAATGCTTCAAATTATGATCTTTAATTTTTCATCAAATAATTGGTAAAAATATCCTTTACGAAATATTTATTAAATAAGAAAAAAAACTTTTTAATATAAAAGAAAATAAAAAAATATTTTTAAGAAACAGAAATTTTAAATTAACTAAAAATAAATTTCTTATAATTTTATCAGTAATTAGTTATTTTTAATTGCACTTTTATGAAATTTGAGATCTTATCAAATTATTCACCCCATGAACATTATTTATTAAAAATATTGTAAAAATAAATAAAATCGATCCAAAAATAATGTTAAATTTCATTTTTCCTATTTGTCTTCGTCTTATCACTCTTAAACTTCATCTAGTAATCTATTTCATGAGACGATCTTTTATATCATCTCACCTTGCCTTAAACCTGAAATCAACCACTTCCGATTATAAACTGAAAAGACATTTTATGAAATTCATTTAATTTCTGAAATTATGTGTTCACTACAAAATTGCAAATATAAATATGTTGTAAGAGACGTTTACTAGTGAATTTTAATTTCAGAGTAAAAGAATATTCGCAGTACCTTCGACAAAGTTAAATAATATGGTCCGACAAGTATACGATGTATAAATGTCAAGTGTATTTAATGTAAACTTCTTGAAATTTCCCTGCCAAAAAGCAAAAAAATTATATTTAATTTTACTTGAATATTTATATAGAAGGATTTTACATAAAATCAAGTGAATATTCTATAGAATTTTAGTAAATTAATTGAATAGAATATCTACGTGAATTCTAGTAAATATTAGGTAGAAATTTATACAAATATTTTTATTGATATTAATTAATTACACAGGCACACAAAAAAAATAAAAGTGGTCTGTTTATTGAATCAGACCTACATGTTTTATAGTATTTTTGCCTGCTGAAAACGAATATGAAGTCAGAATTACTCCATCACTCTCTATTTTTTTTAAATCGAAAAAACTACACTTAAATGTTCAAATTCAAAGTTTGAAGTAAAAAATAAATTAAATAACAGATTGCGTTGCAAAACAGAACAATAAATTTATATACTTCTCTTTCAACAACCCAAAAGCAATGTCAGAATTAAAACATCACTTTTCCCTTCAAAGTCTGAGTTTATCCATATAAGGGTAGTTTTTTCAATTTAAGAAAAATTGGAGGGAGGTGATTTAATTCTGATGTCGCTGCTTTTTAGTTGTGAGAGCAAAAATACAGAAACGTATGCTTCTGTTTAAAAAATTAATTTTTTTTCATTATTTTCTAGTAAACTCTGGGTTTTTCCTTTTAAGGGTAGTTTTTTTATATAAAAAATTTAAGGGTGATGGAGCAATTTTTATGATGTTTTCAGTTGTTAAAATAAAAATACAGAAACGTATGTTTCCCTTTAAAAAGTTAATCTTTTTTTTTATTTTTTTCCAGTAAAGTTTGAATTTATCCTCTTAAGGGTAGTTTTCTTTAATATAAACAAAAAATTGGGGTGTTTTTAAATTGTTGTAATAGAAGTACATAAATTTATTGTTCAGTTTTAGAAACAATCGGTTTTTTCATTTTTTTTTTTTTTATTTTAAACTTTGAATTTAAATACATTTAAGGGTAGTTTTTTCGATTTTAAAAAAAACCTGTGTTATATATTATAAATTAATTAATATTCTACTAATTAAATTTTTCTGTTTTAAATTTCGCACCAATTCAGTTCTTGAAATTACCGCCTAGATGGCATGAAAATTCGCTCATAAACGAAATGAGGAAAGTTTACTTTTGTTTTTGTTTACTCTCTCTTCTTTTACAGCATGTTTATTAAAATTGGTATAGAAATTTTATAGAAATTACTCTATAGTGAAATTGTTCATAATATTAACTAGGATTTCTATGTAGAATTATTCTGCTATTGCTATGGAAAAATATACATTCTAGTAAATTTTAATTAAATTCAATATAATTTTCGACTTGGTTATCACAATTTTCTTACTTACGTGAAAAATATTTTCATTTACTATTTTTGTTTTGTTTCAACTTTTAACTGAATTAAATTGTAAATCTTTATAAACTAGAAAAATAACGAATTTTACAATTTTTTTCTGGACTAAAAATAATTTAACTCTATTTAATAATCTTTTTGAAGAGAAGAGATAATCTTCCTTTATATCATCCAGAATTTGTCTTAAGCCTAAAATTAAGAACTTCCGATTACGACTCAAAGGACGCTTAAAAAATTCATTTATTTTCCGCAATTATTTACTTGCTTTCGCAAAAAAAAACACATTGAAATAAAAATTTATTTTCGTTTCTTTTTATTACAAAATAAATAAAAAACGTTTTAAACAAAAGCGAATATTTCAAAATTATTAAACATTCTTTTTATTCTTATTACATTTTTCACATTTTTTATTATAAATATAATATATAATAGGATTATAAAAAATTCATTGGTAATTAATAAACAGCAGGAGAAAATAAAATTAGGAGTGGAAAATCTAATTAAAGAATCTCGACGAGCCATTGGTTCTCAAATCCCTACCACTCCAACTCGTTCATAAGCAGCATTTCCCCGCCATCTGTCGGACAGTTTTTATCTGATTAGCGCAAAATGAAAATTTATTTATTTTAATTTTATTTATTTATTTATATTTATTTTTCTTGCGTTATTACACTAAACAATGAGACGGATAATTATATTATTAAAAATATTATTACAATATAAAATTTGTATTGATATAAAAAAATAATAATTACTGACTGATATTTTTTTAATTCGAATATTAAAAAATAGAAATTAACACTAATTAATTGCGTTATGAAGAATTAAAAATATTTTTAATTACACAAAAAAAATTTATTGTATTTAATTCTATTTTTATTTTTTAATTTAATATTTATTTGTGACGCGTTCCGAAGAAAAGTACCTAAGAAGCAAAAAATTTTAGGTTATTTTTGTAATTTTTAGAATAAACATACTCGGAGTAGATTAATTCTGAATATAATCTTCTTTGCATATAAAATAATTAATAAAAAAACTGATTTTAGTTTTACAGAATTAAACAGAAACTTTTAATTAAGGTTAAAATATGACAAAGATAACCTTAAATTACATGCTTCTTATAGGAGCGCGTCACAATTTCTGTCTAATTGCGTAACACTAAAATTAATTTTTAGTATTTATTTTAAATGTAATAAAGACTTAAAAGCATCAGTGAATTATATCTAGATTTAATTTTCTTTGTGTTTTTATTTCAAAAATTATAAATATAACCAAAAATTTTTTTTACTTTCTAGGTAACTTTCTCCAGAATTTTTTTTAAATAAACAAATGTGTCGACATTTATTTATTTAAAAAAATTCACACATAAAAGAAAGTTGAAAATTTCGTCTATAAAAGAAATTCAACATAATCCCAATTTTTATTAAATAAACAAACAGTTTCCTTTTTGTGTACATAAAAAATAAATTATTCTACTAAACATTTTTTTCGTGTAAGTTTCTTTAACCGTGAAATTTCATATTTGATAGATAAATGCCAGTGCAATTATCACCATTTCGCATGGCTTAGCATAATTTTCGAATTTGTTGGCTTACTGTTTTAATCCTCTTTTGTTATTATTATGTTTCATCGCTAATATCGCGATCAACTACAATTGTATACATTTTAGGGGTTGAATTGCATTTCGATCAAAAATCGAAATAATACACCGTTATTTATAATTACGTCTACATTTACCAATGTATAAACAAAATTTATTCGACTCCCTTGAAATTAATAAATAAATAAATAATAATTAATAATTAAAATGAGTGATAGTGAATTATAATTATTTTTAATCTATTTTCATTGTTTAATCAGCTCAATTTGAAAATTTCTGTTTATCATTACGAAAGTATATAAAATTCTCCTCTTTAGTCGATAAATTTGAAAATTTCGATTATTTATTATGCATTTATATGCGTAAGCAAAAGAGCCTTTTATTTGACTAGATGTGAGATAGTTTAGGGCTCTTTGGTCAGGCCGTTTCATGATTTACTACGGTCGTGCGGAATCCTAACAATGTTAATTTCACGTAGTAACCAGGAATTCGGGCCTCGCCTGGTGTGCCAATATATAACGCTTATGGTCCTCGTGGACGTTCCGCGAATACGTATTAACCACAAACATAGGGGTTGGCAGTTTTCACTTTTTTTCCAGCGTCACCCCTATCCATTTTCCTCTACATGCATATATACAATATGATACATTGAAAATTATGATCTAACCAATCACTTCTCAACTTTATTTCTATCAAAAAAAATATTCTATTGATCTTTCATCATCAAAAAGTGGACTAAAACAAAAAATTTTTAAACAAACAAGTTTCAAGTAAATTTTATCTATTTTTAATTTTTTCCACCATTTTGAATTAGACATTTTGAAACTTGACGTGCGCTAGGGAAAATCAAACAACGGATAATAATAATAATAATTATTATTATTTTTATTATTTTTATTATTTTTATTATTTTTATTCCGTTTATGGAAAAAAAATTATGTTCTGAGAAAAGTTGCAACAATTATCAAATAATTGAAATTTTTACGTACATATGTGTTCTCATCGTTGTTCATTTATCTTTATGGGAAAATATAAAACTGAAAATAAAAGACATTATGAGAATTATAAACGTTACTACTTAGAAAATTGATATTCTTTAATACGTAATTTGTACTCACACTACTGTCAATCTCATAATAGCATTTGCAATATGCAAATGAAGCTTCACAAAGGTCTTCATGAACTGGAAAAACAATATTTATAAAAATTTTGATAAAATATATAAATATTTTTATAATAATAACAAATTTTAATATTTATAATTAAAAGAAATGTAATTTTTATAATTTTACAATATTATTTAAAAAATAGTTTTGTAAATATTAAAATTGATTAATTAAAAAATTGCCTAAAATCTGATAAACTGTCAAGTTTTGATTATTTTTACAGAGTAAATTTTAATACATCTGCTTTAATTAAATAAAAAGTTTGTTTGTATTATATTTTTCTAAATTAATTCAAAATAATAACTAAAATAAAGTATACCTAATAATTTGAAATTTAATTATAAAGGAATTATATAATGCCTTTATTTTTTATAATTTTTTATATTATTATTATTATTATTATTATTATTATTATAAAAAAAAATTATAATAATTCTGTATGTTTTCTAGAAAAATTATTAATTTCTTACCGGTTAAATGATCACAAGCTTCCAACAATTGAATTATTCGACTAGCAGTATTTTCTTCGACTAAAGATTGAATTTGTGATTTCATAGTAGATGTTGAAAGTTTTCCATCTTTAATCTAAAACAATTTTTTATACACTAAAAATATTTATTTTTATTCAAATTATAACGGTTACTTTTCTATTGTCAAATAAATATTTCTTTATATCAAATAATTTTTATATCAAATAATTTTTTATTAAGACAATTAAATAGTATTTGCTGACATTGAAAGGTTCAAATTCAATTGAGGCCTTGGATCCAATAACTCGCCCGACGCTCGAAGGCACGCGCTAATACCAGTCAGGTAGCAGTGAGTGGCCCAGAGGCGCTCACTGCTCACTGACTGGCAGTTGCGCGTTCCTCCGAGCGTCGGGCGAGTTATTGGATACAAGGCCTCAATTGGTTTGACTTAAATAAAAACTATTTTATTAATGTAAATATTTATTTGAATCAATTAAATTTTTTTTCAGTATAATAAATTCTCTTGGAATTAAAATAATCATTTAATTATATATAACTGTATAGGTTGTAGGATTTTTAAATCACTATTTTAATCACTATTTTTTAATTTTTCACTTACTGTTTTAAATTTTTTGAAAAGACACATTAAATAACACTTGAATTGTGGATCATCTACGAAATTTCCACCAATATGTGCTTCGACAATTAAATCTAAATATTACCGAGAAGAAATTTTTTATACATCTTTTTTGCATTTGACATTTCTTTCTTTTAATTTAGAAAAAAAGAATTCAAACTTTTTATTATCATTAAATTTTAAAAATAATAAAATCGATTGAAAATGTTAGAATTTTTAATTAACAAAAATACCTGGAGAAACTCCTGATTGCTCAATGCAAGGTGCTTTAAAGGATTTTACCATTTTTCTCAATCCTTCCATACTAACTTTCTTTCATGAAATTACAAAAATAGTAAAGTCTATTAATTTTTGGAGTTGTTTATAAAATTATAATTATAATTTTTTATTTATTATTTATAATTCACAATATCATGTTTATAAATAATTATACATTATTGTAATTATAATAAAAGTGTAAATAATTCAAATTATGATCTTTAATTTTTTATCAAATAATTTGTAAAGATATCCTTTACGAAATATTTATTAAATCGGAAAACAACTTTTTAATATAAGAAAATAAAAAAAAAATTTTTGCGTAACAGTAATTTTAAATTAACTAGAAATAAAATTCTTATAATTATATAAATAATTAGTTATTTTTAATTGCACTTTTATGAAATGAAATTTAGGATCTTATCAAGTTATTCACCCCATGAACATTATTTATTAAAAACATTGTAAAAATCAATCCAAAAATAATGTTAATTTTCATCTTTTCTATTTGTCTTTGTTTTATCACTTTGAAACTTCAACTAATAATCTATTTCATGAGACGATCTTTTATATCATTTCACCTTGCCTTAAACCTGAAATTAGCCACTTCCGATTATAAACACAAAAGACATTTTGAAAAATTTATTTAATTTCTGCAATTATGTGTTCACTACAAAATTACAAATTTAAATATGTTGTAAGAGACGTTTACTAGTCAATTTTAATTTTAGAGTAAAAGAATATTCAGTGCCTTCGACAAAATTGTCGTTCTTAAATAATATGGTCCGATAAGTATACGATGTATTTGTCAAGTGTACTTAATATAAACTTCTTAAAATTTCCATGTCATAAAAAAATTTCATTTAATTTTACTCGAATATTCATATGGAACGATTTTATATAAAATCTTGTGAATATTTTCTACATTAATAATGGAATAGAATTTGTACGTGAATTCTAGTAAATAATAAAGTAGAAATTTATACAATTATTTTTATGGATATTTATTAATTAATTATATATTACAAATTAATAAATATATTACTAATTAATTTTTTCTTTTTTGAATTTCGCACCAATGCAGTTCTTGAAATTACCGGTTGGATAAAAATTCGCTCATAAACGAAATGAAGAAAATATATTACAAATAAAGTGGGAGAAAAAATAGGTTATTTTACTCATATTAATTTGCTTTTTTTTTTATTACTGTCTCTTTTTTACAGAATGTTTACTAAAATTGGTATAGAAATTTTAAAGAAACTATTTTATTTTTCTTGCTCATGAGAAAAACATTTTCACTCTCTATTTTTTTAAAAAAAATTTTCCATTGTTTGATGAATCATTTTTTTAATTAAAGAAATCAAATTTTGTACTTTTTCAAAAATTATTTTTACTCTTTAAAATAATAATTCTACAATAAAAAATAAAGCGATTAGCATTAAGTTTGAATTTCACCAAAAAATTCGTAAAACAATTTAAAAATTATATTAAAAACATGAACATTTTTTGCTTTTTTTAAAAGAAGAAACAAATTGGTCATAAAATGAACAACTTGCTTTTATTACATTAGAATAATAATTTATTTTTTTAGAAAATTGAAAATAATAGTTCTTTACACACATATTTTCTCGTCACGTTATATTCCTTTTTGAATTACGGGAAGAAATTTAACTGGAAAATAAAATAAATCCGTAAATTAGAAATATATTGCTTATGCATTTGTTGTAAATGATATTGGAAATTTTACTTACAGTGCTGTCAAAATCAATAGCACATTTCACATATCTAAATGATGCTTCACATAAATCGTCATGAACTGAAAAAAAAATTTTTAGAAATTCGTATTTTCTTGTAGTACCAAAAATTTTTTTATTATCTCTAAATATGTAAAGATAGAAAAAACAAATTTTGTTGAAACAATTAAACCAATTTTTTCTTTATTGTAACAGAAAAAAATTCTAAACGTAAATTCTTTTTGAAAATTAAAAAAAAACCTTCTTACCAGCTGATTCTTCACAAGCATCTATCAATTCAATTACTCGAGCAGCGAGACTGTCTTCCATTAAAGCTGCAGCTTGTGCCTTTATAGAAGACACAGTAAGTTTTCCACCTTTAATCTAAAATAATTTATAAAAAAGAAATAAAAATTTTAAATAATTTTTTAATTAAAACATTTTTTTAAAATTATTTTACTTTATGTTCATTTATTATTTCTTAATTTAGTTTGTTACTTTCTCTGAATTTATTACTCACAACTTTAAGCTTTTGCATAAGACACATATAGTAACACTTTAGTTCCATATCGTCTGCGAAATTTCCATTTCTTGCCTCATCAACCAATTCTAAATAATGGAGAACGAAAATTATACCATTATGCAAATAATTATTTATGCTTTTTTAGGAAAAATTTCCAGTTAAATTTCTACTAAGTCAGTAGGAAATATTTTTATGTATTATAAATTTACAATTTTTTATTTCATTGCAAGATTTGAAATATTTCACTGCAATATTAAAATAATTTGACAACTATTGCCTCTGAAAATTAAGGCAATATTTTTTTGTTGCCTATGTTGCGTCATTTTGGATCCTTTTCTCATATTAGATTTTTGTAAATAGAAATTAATATAAATAATAAAATATTTTTCTATTATATTATTTAAAAATAATTAACTTTCACTAAAGGGGTTTTTTTTTAAGAAAAACAAATTTATTTATTTACATATTTTATGTTAATCTCTTGAAAAGGATGACGACTGTCATCGAAATGTCGAGTTTTAATAAATAATAATTGAAAATTTACATCATTTGGATTATTTGACCAAAAATATCTTCTAAATTAAATAATAAATCCAAAAACTCATTCTTTTATAAAATAATAAAATACATTTTTATAATTTCCAAAAAAAAATATAATTTATATTATACCTAATTATTTTGAATATAAAAATATATATTTATAAATGTACGAGGGTTACATACCTGGAGAAACACCCGATTGTTGAATGCACGGTTCCCTTAGAGGTTTTGTCATTTTTTTCAATCCTTCCACATTGAATTTCTTTTATGAATTTACAAAAATAAAATTGTTTATATTATTTAATAAAACAAGGGTCGTGAAATTATAAAATTTTACAAAAATGTTTCAATTGTAAAATATCACAATATTGTTGCAAGTTTTCATTTATTTAGAGAAATAAATAAATAATCAATTTCAGACAAAAACAAATATAAATAAATTTATTTTCAAGATTGCTGCTAACTACTTTAAGAAAAAAAGAATAAATATTCTAATTTAATAAAAAAATTTTAAATATATTTTCCTCTTATTTAAGAGAAATATTTGACTTATTTTTATTGATAATCAAATTAATTACCCCATCAACATTATTTATTAAAACTATTAAAAAAACTGATCCAATAAAAATGTGTAGTTTCATTTTTGAAAAATTAATTTTGTTGCTTTAACACTTTTGAACTTCATCTAATAAACTATTGGATAAGACGGCATTAACTTCTTTTATATCATCTTGCATTGGCAGTAATTGAAATTAGAAATTTCCGGTTACAGTTTAAAGGAGGTTTAAAAAAAAAGAATAATATTCAAATTGTGGAGGGAATTTTTGCAGATCTAATTTTGCAAATAATATGTTATAAGAGAGGTATGAATAAAACCCAACATTAATACATTGTACATTTTTAAACTACATTTTCATATCTTTTTTCAACTTTTTATTCGAATTTTTTAGTGTCTTTTAATCTATTCTAAATCTTCAGTAATTAAAAATCCTCTTTATTTAAATTAATTTTAATTGCTATTTATTTTATTAATAATAATTTGTTAAAAATCTTTGTAAAAAAAATTTGACATTTTGAATAAGATATAAATAGTTTAGTGAAAATTAGTAAAAAAAGCTTGTTTATTTAAGTTAATGAATGATTTTTTATTAATTTGGATTTAGAGAGTGTTGTACTTTTCTATATATTAAAAAATATATAAAATAAAATTTATTATTTATGACGATTTCACGAGCAGTGATATTATTATTATTTATTAATAAATATATTTATTTGCATCTATACGTTATATTAGTGATACAAATACATTTTAGTAATGATCCATTACTAATTGTTTTATTGTTATTATTTCTTAGTAATAATTAATAATAAAAAATATAATAATTTCATTATCATTAATATTAAAATTATAATTATTAAATAATTAAAATATTAGTATATTAATTTCATTAACAATTATTAGTAAAACAAAAAAAAAACAAAAAAAAAAGCAAAATTAGTTATCAAATAGAAAGACGAGTTTTTAATGCTGCCCCACAACTCACGCTTGCCATTGGTTAGGGACTGCGAGACTTTTCTGCGCAGGAGTGGGGGAACAAGTTCATGCACTAAGCTCAAAAACTTGATTGTAATGAATACTAAACAAATTTATTAATATTAATAAAAAGCGAATTGTCTAAGATAAATAAAGTTTAAACAAAATAGTTTACATTACAAAATCATAAAAATGTATTACACTCTCAAGACGTTAATTTTTATTTGTCTTCTGCAGCCTTTTATTTATTACTTCTATATGTACAATATTACTGAATCCATTTACATAATTTCTTCATTGCTCACGGGAAAAAGTAGAGCTGTAAAATTAAAGAGATAATTTAGTTTTTATTTTCAAAGAATATTAATTTTTTTATATATTACATTAAAAAAAAAATCAATAACGTAATTTTTACTGTACTTTTATATTAAAAAATAAACTGTTTGGAATTTTCTATCTCAAATTTTACTATATTTCCGGAATAAATTCTATTATTTCGAAAGTAATTTGGAATTTTAGTATCAAATTTTGGTAAAAATTAGTTTTAGGTAATAAAAAATAATAAAGAAAATAGAGTAAAGTTTAAAACGAAAATAAAAAAATTTACTATACAGAAATACTAAGCTTTACTCTGGAAATAGCAAAAAGTAACAAAGATTTCTAACCATTTAGTTTTTACAGTATAAAAATAGTAAAAGTTTTTAAATAAATATTCGAAAAAACGAAAAGTAGAACAAGTTTCAACTATAAATAATTTTTAGTAATTAAATTGTAAAAATTAACGAACCGAAGAGTCGTATTTGTAACCACAAGTAGTATATTGATAAGCAGCTTCACAAATATTTGGACTTGTTGCTAGAAAAAAACATTATACGAATAAAAATACTGTTTTCATTTTTTTTTTTTTTGTTAATTATTTGTTTAATTGAATTATAATTATAAGTTTATTTTTCCTTTATTTTTCTAACTCACCCTCAGGTATACAAACAGAAGCCATGCCTTTCAATCTTTCAGCTAAATCTTCAGTAAGCATTATTGCCATTTGAGCATTCAAGGCATCCTCAGAAATTTTGTCGTTTTTAATCTGTAAAAAGTGTTATTAATACTTTTTTCAAATCATCTAAAAAAATTTAAAAGTTTGTGGAAGGAGAAATATTTAATATATAATAAAAGTTTAATACAATACACATTATAAATTATTAATTATATAATTAATATTCTTATAATAATCTAATCTCTAAATATATTTTTATTAGAAAATTCTACGAAAATTCAATTATTTAAATACAAAAATAAATAATTTATTGAATAATTAAATGTTTCTCAAAATTGAATTCTCACGAAGAATTTTGTCAAGAAATTTTTAAGTAATTGAATTCTTTTGATAAATTTTAATAAAATTTTTAAGAATAATTACATTTTTCGAGTAATTTTATTAAAATTGTATTTAAAAATAATTGAAATTCTGCGATAAGTTTTAATATTTATCAAAATTATTGAATTCCTAAAAAAATTTTTATTATTTATAAAAATAATTGACTCTCTGTAGAAAATTTTATTGTTTAAAAAAATTAAATATTAGGTAGTGCTAAGAAATTTATGAAAAATTTGTAAATATTTGAATTCTTGAAAAATTTCTATTATTTATGAAAGTAATTAAATGTTTGCATAGAATTTTAACAACATTTTTTTTTAAATAATTGAATTCTTTTAAACAATTTTATTAAAATAGTAGATATAGAAAATTATTGAATTGAGGAAAATTTTTGAAAATGATAAATAATTGAATTTCTGTGAAGAATTTTTTTTTAATTTTGAAAATAATTGAATTTCTGCAATCATTTGTAACTTCTCAAAAATTCTATTTTTTTAGTGTTTTTAACTAAAATTCTTCAATAAATCAATTATGTTAATTAATTAATTATATATTAATAAATTTAACTAAATTTAGATGAATTTGAATTATTAAAATTTTTCAAGAATCTCAGTTTTTTAAAAATTTCTCATGAAATTCATTAAAAATTGAAATTTTATAAAATTTCAAATTAAAACCTTTTGAAGTTGATCTATTTATGAAAATTGTAAACGTAACTCTTCAAAAATTCAATTAATTTTGAAATATTTAAGTAAAATTATTCATAGTAAATTATAATTTATAAGTAATAATTTTATTATAGTTGTTCAAGAATGAAGTTATTTGAAAAAAAATTATTGTCCAGAAATAGAAAAAAATTGAAGGTTTTGTATTAGAATTCGTAGTAATTTGATAGTTTATGAGAAAAACAAAAAAGAAAAGACACAAAAATTCAGAATTTTCTTATAAATTTAAAAAATTAATTTTTTTCCAGAACTTTTAATAAAAGTCCCTGACTTCTCTCCGACTTTTCTGACCTGTGACAACCTTGTATATTATTGATTTACTACTGTTATTTTATTTATATACTAAAGAATGTATAAATTAATTTTTTCCATCTTCGCCTCAAAAACTATTTAAACAAAAAATAATTTTTCACTTACAATACCCATTGCAATGAATAGACATTTGAAATAACACTGCAGTTCCGGAACCGGTGGAAATTCTCCTTTAGTTTTTGCATTTTGGATCAGCTCTATTATAATTTAAATTTAACATATTATTATTATTATTATTATTATTACTATTATTTTTATTATTAATGATCATTATTATAATTAATAATAATATTTAAATGCATCACTCGGTGTTATTCTAATAATACAGAATTGTAATGATCCTTCTAATGTTTTTTCATAATGATTATTATTAGGTATATAAGTTTATTACATATATGTGACGCTCCACGAGAAAAGGGACCTTATGACAAGAGTAAATAAGGTCCCTTTTCTCGAGGAGGGTCACATATTTAAAAAAATTTTTTAAACATAAATACAGAAAAATTGTCCTTTACTTTTTAAAAGATAAATTTATGGAATTAAATTTACTTTAATTTTAGAAATATGTGAAAAAGGAACTTTTTTATTACATACCAATAGGACAACCAGTTTGTCTTTGACACGTTTTTCCTACTGGTTTTCCAGCTTTTACTAATTGCTCGAAATTCATTTTCTTTTATTCCATTACATGAAAATTGAACACAATATTATTATAAACCGTAATTTAATGAATGAAAAATAATTTAAATTTACCAACTAATTTACTACTTTTTTTCTTTTCTACGTTTTCGTAACTCGAACACATACAATTATATTTAACAGAAAAAATAAAAACTCAAATTTTTCTACAAATTTTATCATTTTAAAAACTTTATTCTAACGTTTTTTTTTAAATCACTTTATTGTAATAATATTTTTATTTTATTTTTAATTTTTAGAATTACTATTTTTTATTTAAAATTTAACATTAATTTAGAATAGAAAAAATATCATACTCCTTCTATGTTTTGGAAACATATCACTAGTATAATAATTAACGTTCTGCTAATTAACATAATTTTCATTTTTTATTTTTTGTTTAAATTTAAAAAAAATTTTTTAAAAATTTTTACGAATTTTTTACTTGACAAACAATTTGCGGATTTCTATTGTATTGCGAGGAAAAAAATTGGTGCCAAACGCTTTTATACATGTGCAGGAAAATAAAGCTATCAACTGAAATATGAAATTATGAATGGATTGATTAAAGGATAATTAAGGAATTAAATGAAATAGCGGTGGGTAGGTAATTTCTGTAAGTAGTCACGCGATACGCGCAACACCAGAAAATTTTATTTTTTCATAAACGTTTATTCGTCTAAAGAATTCATTTTTTATTCGCAAAAAACTCATATTTTTAGATACAATTTTATTATTTTAAGCCATTTATTTTTATTTATATCTTTTAATTAATTTATTTTCATTATAAACTATTTCGTTTTTATTATTTCCTAAATAGTAAAAAATGTATAATAATAAATTATTTTATAATCAATAACTTTTAGAAAAATCGTTTCTTATAATTATTAATAATAATAATTAATATTAATTTTATTTAATAATTAATTTATTAATATTAGTAATATTATTAATATTACTAAATACTTCATTCAGTGTATTACATTACATCCTTAATTAAAAAGATGATTGTCGCAGTTTACAATTTTATACATTTTTTTTTATTCTAAACATTTTGTAGTAAATTATTTGTTATATAGTAATCTCAGTCACAGTTTACAGTAATTTTTCAGACAAAATTTTAAGATCGAATTTTTTGACAATTGCGAAAAAATCTTTTCAATATCATACAATTATGATAGATGTTATTTTCCCATAAACGTATGAGACACACATAAAATTCTTTTACAATTGAAGAAAAATAGTATCTATTATAGTCCAATAATAAATACGTTATTATTCCATAATCGTATATTCGTTGAAGAAAGCCTGTTTTAACTATCATTTTTTTAGAAAATTTTTCAACATTTAATTCATTATTAATTTGACGTGTTTTTTGTAGTATTAATATTATTAATAAATTAATTCATTGATTATTAATTCAAAAATTGATCACTGTAGTCTACAATTTAAAAACAATTATTTTTTATACATTTTGTAGTAATTTCACAGTTTTGTTGAAAACGTAATAAGACACAGACAGTAATTACAGACAGTAATTTTAAAGACAAAATTATAAGACACAATTCTTTGGCAATTGGCAATTTTCGAAACCAAAAATTGTTACGAAAATAAACGATTATAAAAAAATTACATAAAAAATTATTCACTTGGACTATTACTTAGAATTATATATATATATACTTCTATTTTGTCACGAAAAAATGCCAACCTTTGAAATAAATATTTTATAATAAATTAAAAAAATATACTATGCAGTCAAAATAAATACAAAAAAATTTATTTTTTTTATTTTTTTCAATAAATATTTTATCTTCAGTGCGTTAATATTAAACAAAAAATTGTTCACTTCGTATTTAGATAAGTTTTGGTGAAAATTGAATTGAAATCACTCATGAAACTGAAAAATGTATCCAACATTTTGTACAAAACATCCGTATCTTCATCGTAGATATTTTTTATAAAATTCGTAGCAGCACTGTAATAGTCTTCACCTTAAATTAAATAAACTTGTAAATTATTAATTTTTTAAAAATTTTCATTAAACTTTACTGAATTGTGATAAAATTTTTATTCAATTTAATTCTTATTAAATTTTATTCAATATTTATGAAATTGTACTTTTTAATTTGAGAAAAAACTCACTCATTGCAACACATCGCGTAATGACAGAATAAGTTGTTTTCAATTCGGGAAATAAATCAAAGAGCGATTCAACCAAACTTAAATCCAATTCTCCATTTTCGTTCTGAAAATTAAAAATTTCTATTATAAAAATATTACTAAAATCTAATGGGAAAAAAATTATTAAAAATTAATTCAATTATTAATTACAATAATTAATTATTCCACTCGAAATAATGTAAACGTAAATTAAAAATTGTTCTTTTACCAGATTTAAAATTACTCTAGATTATAAATAAAAAAACACTTCACTATTTCCACTGTTATTAACCAATTAACACTTACGTCTTTAAATGCCATTATCGCTTTACTGTTTGACCTTTAGATTTCAATTTTATTTCAATTCGTAGATTATTTTTTCAATTTGTTTTCTATTTTACTTTATTTTTTTTAATTAAGTTTTCACTTTATTTAATATTATATGTAATATTTTTTATTTTTTAAATATTTGGTTTTTAATTTTAATTGTAAGATTAAATTACAAATAATAATAATAAATGAAATATGTATGTAAAATAATGAAATGAATTTTACAATTTTTAAACAAAATTTTTGTATTTATTGATTCAGTTAATTAGAATAATTAAGCAATAGATATAAATTTTTGAAAATTTAAAAAAAATTTGTTCTTCTATTTTTACTATGATACTGAATCAACAGAAGACAATTGTCCTCTGAGGATCCTATGAAAAATCATAAGCTTGTTAGTTCCTAATGACTTGAGCCATATTAAAGCAGACAGTCATTATTTCAAGACCACTGTCATCAGATCTTTTCATCCGCTTGACATGATAATTTCAAGTAGTTCATGTATAAGTATTAACAAAAATCATAATGTAGTACGTTCATAATTACAATGAATGATAAAAAAAAGTAGATCATATTAAATAATTAAATGACTTTATAATCATTAGTTTCAATATTTTACTCATCTGTTAATAACTGTATAATAGCTAATAATAATAATAACAATAAAATTTGTTTAATATAATAGTAATAAAATGACAATTTTTGTTAAATGAATAATAAAAATTTAAGTTTATTTAATATACACTGAAAAAAAATTATTTGATTCAAGTATTTCACTCAAATAAATTAATAATTTCAGTATTTGGAGCAAATACGATTTAATAGACACAAATAAAAATTATTTCACTCAAATAAATATATATTTGATGAGAAGACAAAATTATTATTGAATAATTATTATTTGAAATTTTGAATCAAATAACAGTTTTTCAGTGTAAATAAAAACTGATAAACATTAATAATTAACAAAGATTAATGAAAATTATTTTAAAAAATAAAGATTAATACTAATTAGATTAGGAACGTAAAAATATTAATAAAAATTTAATGAAATTAAAAAGACTGTATTTATGATTGAACTTCATTACTTTTTGAAACTTTATTCGCTACTTTTCGTTTTTCCTAAATTTTTTTTTCCGAAAATTATTTTCTTGCTTTATTATTCAAATTTTGATTTGATTATTTAAATATTTTATTACGCTATTAATTTTAATTTGATTTAAATTAAAAAAAAAAATTTTTTTTAAGTAGACATTGCTTAATAATTTTTTGAACAAAATAAATAAAATTATTGTACTAAATGTGTAACATTTTTCTTTAATAAAATTTATGTACTAAATAAATAAAATTTTCTTTGCAATAAAAATTTTTTTACATTCAAATAATTCTGAACTTTGTTTATATTATTATAAACAAAGTACATAATTATTTGAATGTTGACATTTGATTATGTTTACAAAATAATAAATAATAAAATAATAAATAACAAAGTAAAATATTGTTTCATCAAAAGAAATATTTTATTTAAATCAAATATAATTTATCTGAATCAAATAAAAGTATATTTTTCACAGAACCTACTAAATTATTTATTTGTTTTAAATAGAAATTTTATTTAGCACTTCATAACATGTCTTTTGAACCAAATAAAATTTATTTAAAAAAAAAAATATTTATTAGAAACAAATATAATTGGTTTAGTACGCTCTGAGTCAAATACATCTTTTTTTCACTGTTTACAATAATTAAATAAATAAACGAATAAATAACAATATATTTAAGAAATTAATGATTATTACCTATTAATATTTGCTGGAATACAAAATTTTACTTAGATTGTAATATTGTTACTTGAAGATGCGTTTGCCAAAGTAGGAACAAATCTGTTAATAAAAGAAAAAAAAAACATCTAATTAGTTCATTTGCAATTTTTAATAATCTTCTAAACTATTTTACTAAACTTTTACCAACTTTTACTATTTTACTAAATCCTTTACTTTACACTATTTAATTTTATCAATTTAAAAAATAAATAAGTAAATAAGTTTTATCTGAAAAAAATTTATCGAATTTTACCCACAAAAAATAGACTTCATTAAATTTTTACTAAAATTTTTTATAAAAAAAAAACGAAATTAATTACTATACTTACTCTGTAATAAAATTTGTGAATATATTTAACACCTGTTTTCATTCTTGCTTTGCAAACAATCCCTTCTTTTCTCAACAATGCCAACAATTCTGTTGAAATAAAATTTCAAATAATTAATAATACAAATTAACGTAACTTTTTAAAAATTCAGAAAGTGATGACGAACATTACAAATTTCTTTATAGTAAATTTTACTAAATTAATTGTCGACTTAATTAATCTTAATATTAACCTTTGCTAATTTTAGTAAAATGTATAGTTTACATTAAAATTTACCAACTGATTCACAGGACTTTAATATTTTTTATTTATTTGTTTTTACTTTAAATAATTTAATTTAATTTAATTTATTACAGTAAGAGAAAAAAAAATTAATTAAATTTTTTTGTTGAAAAATAAAATAAAATTGTTCAAAAAATTATGTTACTTACCTGGATCAATGCCTAATTGCAATTGACACGTTTTCTTCAGACTTGCATATAAACTTCTTATTATATTATCAGAAAGTCCCTAAAATAAATTATTTCCTATTAAAATAAATTTCTATTTCAATGAATTAAGAAAAAAAGAACACACACAAAAATTATTTTATCAAATGCATAAATATTATTTATTTCAAAACAAAAAACATTCTACTAACACGTTTATTTCTCTCATTAAAGAATGATCCTATCAAAATTATTAAAATTGTCGAAGAAATATTCATTCTTAAACAATTTTTCACTATTTTTAATTTCAATTGTATAATATAACTGTTTTTTAAACATATGTAACTGAAAATAAGAAACTAACAAACAAAGTAACAAACCAAAATAATTTACTCTTAACGT